GGATTCTCCAGGCAAGAATGCTGGCCTGGGTTGCCATGCCCTCTTCCAGGGGATTTTCCCAACCCAGCGATCAAGCCTGGGTCTCCTGAATTATAGGCAAATTCTTCACCACTAAGGCACCGGGGAGGCCCCTAGTGGACTACAAGCATTTTGTTGTTTAGTCACTCAGTCACGTCCAATTCTTTGCAACACCATGGACTGCAGCACACCAGGCCTGCTTGTCCCTCACCATCTCCTGGAGCTTGCTCAAACTCATGTCCATTGAGTCAGTGATGCCATCTAACCATCTCATCCTCTGTCAGCCCCTTCTCCTCCCACCTTCAATCTTTCCCAGCATCAGGATCTTTTCAAATGAGTCAGTTCTTCACATCAGGTGGCCGAAGTATTGGAGTTTCAGCTTCAGCATCAGTCCTTCTGAACATTCAGGACTGATTTCCTTTAGGATGGACTGGTTGGATCTCCTTGCAGTCCAAGGGACGGACTCTCAAGAGTCTCCTCCAACACCACAGTTCAAAAGTATCAATTCTTCAGTGCTCAGCCTTTTTTATGGTCCAACTCTCACATGACTACTGGAAAAACCATAGCTTTGACTAGACGGACCTTTGTTGGCAAAGTAATGTCTCTGCTTTTTAATATGCTGTCTAGGTTGGTCATAGCTTTTCTTCCAAGGAGCAAGCCTCTTTTAATTTCATGGCTGCAGTCACCATTTGCAGTGATTTTGGAGCCCAAGAAAATAAAATCTCTCACTATTTCCATTGTTTCCCCATCTATTTGCCATGAAGTGATGAGACTAGATGCTATGATCTTCATTTTTTGAATGTTGAGTTTTTAAACCAGCTTTTTCACTCCTGTTTCACTTTCATCAAGAGGCTCTTTAGTTCTTCTTCACTTTCTGCCATACAGGTAGTGTCATCTGCATATCTGAGGTTGTTGATATTTCTCTCAGCAATCTTGATTCCAGCTTGTGCTTCATCCAGCCTGGCATTTCTCATGATGTACTCTGCATAGAAGTTAAATAAGCAGGGTGAAAATATACAAGTTTGTTGTATTCCTGTCCCAATTTTGAACCAGTTCATTGTTCCATGTCCGGTTCTAACTGTTGCTTCTTGACCTACATACAGATTTCTCAGGAGGCAGGTAAGGTGGTCTGGTATTCCATCTCTTGAAGAATTTTCCAGTTTGTTGTGATCCACACAGTCATAAGCTTTAGTGTAGTCAATGAAGCATAAATAGATGTTTTTCTGGAATCCTCTTGCTTTTTTATGATTCAGTGGATGTTAGCAATTTGATCTCTGGTTCCTCTCCCTTTTCTAAATCCAGCTTGAACATCTGGAAGTTCTCGGTCCACATACTGTTGAAGCCTAGCTTGCAGAATTTTGAGCATTACTTTGCTAGCATGTGAAATGAATGTAACTGTGTGGTAGCTTGAACATTCTTTGGCATTGCCCTTCCTTGGGACTGGAGTGAAAATTGACTTCTCCCAGTCCTGTGGCACCTACTGAGTTTTCCAAATTTGCTGGCAAATTTTACCTGTCCCTGGTACCCACAATGGTACAGGCAGAGTTGGTGCTCAATTTCCACATGGTGAATGAACTGCCATATGATAAAGGGCAGGGATTGCTCAGATAGCAGTGCAGGTGTGGGAGAGGAAACATTTTTAAATGGAACCAAAAGGCTGCTCGGGCTTTCCAGGTGGCACAAGTGGTAAAGAACCTGCCTGCCAATGCAGGAACTATAAAAGACGCAGGTTCCATCTCTGGGTCGGGAAGATCCCCTGGAAGAGGGCATGGCAACCCACTCCAGTATGCATGCCTGGAGAATCTCATGGACAGAGGAGCCTGGCGGGCTACAGTCCATGGGGTTGCACAGAGTCGGACACGATTGAAGTGGCTTAGCACAGGACAAAAGACTGCTCAACCCTGCCACCAGGTGCCTCCCGCAGGCCCTGGGCCAGGATGCCCAGCTCCCACCACTCACTCTCAGACACCCAGGCACCCCACTGAGTTTCTCCTCCTGCTCTACTTCGGCCAGGGAGGCAGCTGACTCCTCCTGGGCCCAGGCACCCTACGGCTTAGCACAGGGATCAAAGCTGCCCCTGCGCCCAAGCCAGGCTCCCGGGGAGGTGAACTCACCTGGCGTGGGCCAGGCCAGGCTAATGGCAAATGCCCCACTCTCCTCTCACATCCTGACTTTTGGTCCACAAAACCTGGTCACCTGAGGTCCGCTGCCCTGCCCTCAGGGAACACACAGTCATGTTGTGGAGGCAATAATGCCCCCCACTAAGGATCCCATGGGGTGGGGGATGCTGCTGTCAAGATGCATCCAGCAGAACAGAGAAACAGATGGGAGCCCAGAGGAGGGGCGCTGGATGGGGTGGGCATTTAATGCACACAGGTTGCCTCTACATGCCATGGGCTTACCCCCATTCCCACCCCATGAGTTCCTGTAACCCCACCACCACCCTGGGGACTGGAAAGATCAGGTTTACACAGAGGTCACACGCAGGAACGTGACCCGCCCCAGGTCACACAACTAGCAAGAAACCCAACCAAAATCAAACCCAAAATCAAACGGGTTTGGCTGGTTCAAATCCTGTGCCTGTTGGCCCCAGGCTCTGTCCAATACGAGAGGGAGAGGGGTGGCTTCCTGGAGGAGGGGGCATGTGTGTCAAGGGCGTGATGTGCCTGCGTCTGAGGCTCAGCAACCCCAGAGTGTGAGGCGAGAGAGGTAGCAGGGGTGCACCCCACCCCATTCCATGAAGAAAACAGGGCGGGGCAGGGGAGGCCCTGCAGGGCAACCGGCCCAGCAAGTGAGGGGTGACAACAAACAGGGCCCAGTCAGCAGGGACAGGGCGGGAGGCAAGAACCAGTAATGAGCTCCCCAGGGCCTCATGCCTCCTGCCAGGACCCAGGGGCTGTCACCACAGCAGCGCCAGAAGGCAGAGCGCAATTAGTCTGGTGCGGCCCGCCCTGCCCCAACCTCCCAGGGACCCAAGCTGATGGAGATTCCACCCCTGAAGCCTCCAGACCAGCCAGGTGGATGCCCTGAAACACCCTGCAGGAAGAACCTGCAGCCCAGAGATAAACACAGGCCTGCCCGCGGTCACACAGCATCAATTACAAGCCTCTTGTCTGCAGGTCCAGGGCCCCTTTTACCGCTTACTAGGTGGGGAGTTTCACCAGGGGCCAGGCCCAGAGCAGGGCCCATAGTGAGCTGGGGCTTCTCTCTACAAATAACCAGACAGCCCATTCCCTGGGAAGGACACAGAGGACCAGGCTCCGGCCCCACTGCAGGCCCCCAGGAAGCCTGAGATAGCAAGACCCGCTGCAGGGCTGCTTGTCCGTCATGAGGTCATGAGGTCCAACAGTCTCGGGAAGGGCTGGGTTCTCAAAACTTTCTTGAGCCCGCTCTGTGCCAGGCCCCTGCTGGGCTCAGAGAGAAGACATAAGTTAGACCAGCGCTGCCCCTGGGGAGCTCACCTCAAGAGGGGAGATCAAAGATAAACAGGCAATTACAGGGCAAGGGGAAGGCGTGGGGCCAGCCCCATGGGTTCCCAAGTGCCACTGCCAGCCCCAGACTGAGCCCTACCTAGCTTGGAGGCTGCGCACCTTGTTCTGGGTTCAGAGCAGGGGGCTGGAGCCTGGAGGGGTAGAGCGGGGGGCAACTCTGCCCCCTAGAGAACAGCACCGGGCCCCCACCCTCTCTGGGCCAATGAGGCTCTTGGAGGCCCTTCCAGTTCAGATGCCCCCTGACCACCCACAGCAACAGGTCTCAGCAGCGGCCTCTGCCGAGGGCCCTAGGGCAAAAAACTTCCCGTATCCCACAGGACCACTGGGACCAGGTCCCAGGCATGCCCGCTCAGGGTGGCTCTGAGAGGTCACACCCCTGTTCAGAAGACATGACAACAGGACGCCTACGACAGTCCCAGCCTAGGGCGAGGACACGGCGCCCTCTGAAGGCTGAGGGACGATTTGGGACGAGAACAAACACCTGCTCCTTGCACCCTGCTTGCACCCATGATGGGAATCTGAATTATCACAGCACTGGTTCCCGCAGGCACCACTCACAGTACCGCACTGTGCAAGTCCCTTTAAGGACAGTACCTTGTTCCACTCTCACAGCTGCCCGAGAGGGAGCTACTCTGATACCCCGACTTTTTGGATGAGTAAACTGAGGTTAATTCTAAAGCTACGAAATGGCAAGGCTGGGTCTCCCACCTGAGCCCAGAAGACTCAGGTGCCCAGTGCTCTTAAGCCCTGCTCTACAGAAAAAGCAGGAAGGATAGGAATGAGAAATGGGCAATGACTTGAATCTGCTGGCGTGGGAACCCAGGAGGCAGTCCCTGTCAATGATTCTTCAGCAATCACAGCTCCAGCCTCCTAGCCTCCCCACCTTCCCTGGAGGGAACGCTGTTGGATTTAAGAGCTGCACTGCCAAATGCATCCACAAGAGGGCGAAGTGTCGGGACCTCGAGCCCATTCTTTGCACCCGAAAACCTGATCGTCCTGGTCCAGAACATCGGCTGCTTGGAGCCATGAATCACGACAAGAGATTGTCTGCATCACTCCCACTGAACAAGTGAGAAGAGTGAGGCCCTGAGAAGGACATGGACTGGCCAAGGTACACAGCAGGTCCTGACAGGGGTCTCCTGAGCCCCAGGTAGTAGAGGCTCCACACGACACATGATTCAGACAGTTCCCACATCTCATAGGTGCCTATTCTGCCAAGTGGCTCCAGGGACACTGTGGGCCCCCCAAGAGTCACAAGGGGATGTGTCAGAACTGGGAGCTATAGATTCCCAGCACCCACCCCTGAGTGGCGGGGGAGGGGAAGGCAATTCTGAGGTTCAGCCAATATTGGGGAGCCCCGGCATCACCCCACCCCTGCTCAGGCTGTCATCAAGTCTTACCTACTCATTCAGGCCCCACCTCTCCCATCTGGTGGTGAGGGCGCCAGGCTGATTAAGTCTCCCCAGCACCCCCACCCTACCCAGGCCTCACCTTTTGCCACAGTGACTCGCGGGAAGCGAGGGATGAACAGGCCGCCACAAACCAGCAGTTGCCCACCTGGCCCTGGTGCAGGTCGTGGGAGCTGATGCCGTCCACAAAGAGGCGGGGGTCCTCGCAGATGTCCTGCGGAGAAGCCGAGAGGAGACCTCAGTGTCTACGTGGGAGATCGGCCGGTCTGCCCTGGACAACTGGGGCCCTGGGTCAAGTCTCTCCAAACCCAGCTTCCCCCAGGGCCGCTCTGAAAGCCCCTCTCCCCTCCCCTGGCTCTGGTCCTCTGCCAGAGTCTGGGTGATGAGCAAACGCTGTGGAAGGACATCGGGGGCCTGGAGCAGGGCCACCACCTTCCTCCTGCCCCCTGCGGTCTTCCCTGACCAGCAAGGACTAGTGTCCATCATCCGCCAGCACCAGCAGCCCTGTGGGCCCATCCCTGCCAGCTCTCGGGGGCCCACCATCACCAGGTGGGGCGAGGTACAGGGCAGAAACACACCAAAATGACACATGACGAGTGCAAAGGGCGGGGGGAAGAGGGGAGACAGACGACCATGCCAGAGCCCATGTGAGCGCATCTTCAGACTCTCATCTGACATTCACCCCACCCACGCAGTGTGGCCTTGGTTTTGTTTTCATTTTATTTCTTTTTTAATGTTTTTTTTTTAAATTGTGGTAAAAGTCACATAATATAAAACATAGCATTTTAACAATATTTAACTGTTCAGTGGCATTAAATACTTTCACACTGCTGGGCAACTTTCACTATCATCCATCTCCTGGATTTTTCACCTTCCTAAACTGAAACTCTAGCCTCGTTAAACGCTTAACTCCCCATCCCCCCTCTCCATCCCACCACCTGGCCCCTGGGGCATCTACCAATGTACTTTCTGACTCTATGAATTTGACTCTTGTAGATACCATGTATAAATGTGGCATTGCTATTCCATTTTATGGATGAGGAATGGAGGTTCAGAGAGAGGCAGTGACTTTCAAGGGCACACAGCAAGCCAAAGCCAAGCAGAACTGAGCAGATACCCCCCGAGTTCCCAGAGTGCCTCCCCAGACCCCTCCTCCTCACCCATCAGCCTCTTCACTCCACTGCTTGCTCTCCAAGGGGAGGTGGGGAGGTGCCACAATAGGGGGTGGGGGAGGTAAACACTGAGGCATGCCTTCCTCCCTGCTGGCACCGTGATCTATCCTCACCACGCATGGTCCTGAGAGGTGGGCACTGTGCTCATTTGACAGATGAGGAAACTGAGGCCCAGACAGGTTGAACAACATGCCCCAGCCACATAGCACAAGCCTGCTTCCACTTCAGCGGCTGCTCCTAAACCAGTTCAGTATTCACAGAGCTATTGAGGTCTTACCACAAGTAGCCAGCAGAGGGTAGCACAGTCAGGAAGACAGATTTCAAATTCCTGCTGTGCGATTTTGGGCCAATGGCTCAACCTCTCTGAGCCTCCGTTTCCTGCCCTGTGCAAAGGAGGCAGACTATTATGCTTGCAGGGCTTTGTAAGGACTCCACAGGTCACAGAGGCAGGGGGAAAGTGAAAGTGAAAGTGTTAGTCGGTAAATCCATGGCTAATTCATTTCAATGTATGACAGAAACCACTACAATGATGTAAAGTAATTAGCCTCCAACTAATAAAAATAAATTAAAAAAAAAAAAAAGTGTTAGTCACTCAGTCGTGTCTGACTCTTTGTGTCTCCATGGACTGTAGCCCACCATGCTCCACTGTCCATGAAATTGTCCAGGCAAGAATACTGGAGTGGGTTGAGGCAAGGGAACATGGGGCAAAGAGCTATCAGCTCTCACTAAGGTGTTCAGGTCTTCTGTTGCCACCTCTGCCTGGGAAAATCAAGAGTTTGGCAGGGCCAGACTGAGGACATGAGCACTCCAGATGGGATTTCAGGGTGACCCAAGGCCAAGCTGCAAGGCAGCTCCCCCAGAGTACGGACTGACCATGGACTGCGGGATGCCACAGGTCTGAGTAACACTGCCCCAGGTCACGGAAACCCAGTGAGTCTGGAAACACAGTGAGCTCTCGGGAAGCCCTCCTTGTCTTATCTCCCAGGCCCAGCCCGGCATTCTGAGCCTAGCCAGAGGAAGCCATGACTCAGCATCTGCCTCCCTGGGGTCAGCAGGACAAGTGTGGAGGGAGGCTTCATACCTGGAGGACCCAGTCATATCCCCACCATGAGAAGAGACAGCTGCTGCCTGGCATCCCAGGAAGTGATCTCCAAGGCACCCCTCCCCATGCTGGGCCCTGCCCAGAGACAGGACCACCCATTCCACAGATGAGGATGCCAAGGTTCGGCAGCAGGCGGTGACGTGCAGGGTCACAGGGCAAGTGGACAGATGAGACAAGCCTAGCCTTGGGACAGAGCTCTCCTCCTCACTAAGCCGCACCTCCAAGGCAGCCTGTGGGCGGGTCTAGCCACCCCCCGCCTGACCCTCCGGCCCCAGGACTGGGCTCTGGCTGCTGGGAGACTGAGCTTGGGGGGTCAGGAATCCTGGTTCCAGTCTCAGCCTTGCCCTGACTCACTGTGAGGCAGCACAGACTGGGGGGCAAACCCTCCAGTCCGAGAGGGAGCAGAGAGGAGGAGGTGGTCTAGGGTGTGTTCCCAATACCAGGAGAGGCGTGGGTCTGCCAGTTTAAGACAGAGAAACCACTAGAAGTTGGAGGCACCTGGGGCCACCTTGGGACACTCTGAACGGAACAATCAGAAACAGCTGCAATGACTGGGCACCAGCTGTGTGCCTAGCTATGCAGAACAACCCTGTGAGATAGGTATGGTTAACATCTCCAACTTACAGATGAGGAAACCAAGGCACAGAGATTAAGTCATTTGTGAAAGGCCATGGCGGAAGAGGTGAACTGAGACTCCAGTCTAGACAGGTAGCTCTGGAGCCTCCATCTGGACCAGGACTTGTGAGTGACAAAGCCACTGTCCCTTCCCCATCCCCCTGCACCTGTCCTTAGCCCAGCGTGGGGGACTTGCTATATGGCAATAAGACCAAGGAGTCAGGGGCAGCGCAGACCCTCACCCTTGTCACTATAGGGCCTGACTTCTCAAGACCCATGTTTGTCCTCCGACCTGTCCTGGGCCATCAGCTAGGCACCAAGCACAGAGCCAGTTAGAAAATCCCCAGTCCACAGGCAGAGCCCTGGAGGAGGAGAAGTCTGAGGGTAGCCCTCCATGTGAGCCCAGCAGTGATAGCAGGAACACAGGGAGAGATCAGAGGAGACTGCCTGGAGGTGGTGACGCTGGTAGAGCAGGGAGGACTCCAGAGGGGAATGGAATGGAAACTCCTAATCCCCCCAAGACGAGATCTGGCCACAGCCTGGGGACAGATGCCGCTTCTGACAACATCAGCCACCTGTGCTCCCTCCCATTGCTGCCCACACTGAGGTTCACCTTGGAGTCTCCCCCACCAGCCTGCAAGCTCCAGGGCAGGACCCAGGCCTGGCTCTGCCCATCACCAGTGTCAGGGACAGGGCTTGGCAGGTTCTGGGCCAGGCCACCTCTAGGGCTGGGATGACCGCTCCTCTGTGGTCAATGGACCTCTCTCTGGGGCCCGGCCCCCTGCTCCTGTGGTCACCTCTCGGTCCCTCCCAGCCTATTAGACCACCTCCACAGGACTCAGGTCACAGTCCATAACCACCTCCTCCCTGAACTGGAACTTCAGGTTCCCAGGCCTGGTGTACAAGGAGAGGGGCAGCTAGTCAGCAGGTCCAGGGCACCTTCAGCCCCTCTGCCCTCACCCCTTCTCATCGTCCATCCACCTTCACCCCGGTCACCTCCCTCCTGGAATCTAAGATCACAGCTGGAATCGATTAGACATGCGGGGAACCTGAGGCCCAGGAAGAAAGTGGGACCTCTGCCTGGGATAGAAAACAGGGCAGGGGTTACAGCTGTGCCCTGTCACCTCTGCCACAGGCCGCCTCCCCAGCCTGTGCGCCCCAGCCCCACCTCCCACGGCAACCCCCTCCTCAAAGGCCACCCAACATGTGCCCAGGAGGGGTCATTCCCAGGCAGGGCAGAGGCCCAGGTGGCTGGACTCGGCACAAACTGCTCATCTCATGTCATGAAGGAGCCTACTGCTCAGCACAGCCGGGAAGCGGGGTCTTCTCCAGCTACTGGTGTGAGTCTGAGCCCCAGACACAGGGCTGAGACCACCAGGCCACCCTGCGAGAATCTGGGAGGTCCCAAAACTGACGTCTGTTTGTGGGACCCTGATTGGTCCCCTTCTTGATTCCAAAGGACCTGAGGCTTATCCCCAGAGACTGGGGAAGGCAGAGCACAGGGGGACATGGCGGGGTCTACCCCACAGGGAGGAGAAGCCGGAACTAAGGCCTCAGGCCTGAGGAAAGGGGAAGCCCCCCTCCATCTACCCATCCCCTTGGGATTCCCCCTGAGTCATAAGCCCTCTCCTCCAGTCTCTTATCTCCTCTTATCTCCCCAGTGAGTTCCCTGAGGGAAGCGCCCAGCAAATGTTTATTAAATGGTAAAGAACCAAGAAACACTGGAGCTGGGAGGAGGAGGAGGAAGGTGTGGGCCGAGGCAGCTGCCTTGGGTGGGACTGAATCGGACCAGAGGGCCCACAGGAGGTGGGGCTTCCGAGCAGGACCGACTCTGGGTCCCCGACACCAGGCTCACTGGAGCCGGTGGTCGAGGGCAGGAAGTTTGTCATCCGCCTCCAGTGTGTCTAATAGCACAAATTCCTCAAGACTCTCGATCTCCAGACACCAGGCGAAGGAAGAACTCCTCCCAATTCACAGAGCAGGCAGCCGAGGCCCCGGGAGGAAAGTGATTCGTTCACGGTCACACCTCCGGGAGGGCAGGGCCGAGGCCATCCGGCTCCAAGGCCAGCTTCCTCATTCCATTTTGGGAGAAAGAGGAGGGAGGCTGGCAGGCAGGGTGGCTGACTGAGGAGATCCCCCAAGAGCAGGAAGGCCACAATACCAGACTAAGGACACCAGACTCACGTCTAGAGAAGGAGCTGGGGGTGAGACGGGAGTGAACAGCTTCCCCCGGGCCTTCCAGAAAGGTGGGGTTTTGTTCTATTTGTAAACAGTCAGGTCACAGGACCCAGGAAGTCAAACTCCATAGAAACGTGGCTGCTTCGGGCCAAAGTCCATCTCACTGGCCCAGGGCCAAACAGCTGGGAGTTAATGGTCACCCCACTGGCTGGCCCCGCCACACCCACCCAAGGCAAGGGCACGGCTTCCGGCTGCACCAGCCCCATGTCCTGTGTCCTGTCCATGGAGCAGGGCTGCCTACACACGCCCATCCCTCAAACCTGGGTCCACGCCGTCTCACCCCCTCATTGCACATCACTCAGCAGTGCCTGGCCCTGAGCTGCCTTCCAACCCGGAACTGACCCCCACAGCTACCCCTAAGCCCCACTCTGTCACCTCCTTCTCAGTACCAACCACCACATGCTGCCTGTCACCCGCCTCCACATCCAGCACTCGACAGGCAGGGCAGCTCTGTTCCTCCTCTTTGCATGTCTACGGAGGACTGGGCATCAAGCCCGGTGAGGAAGGCAGTGCAGGAGAGTGTGCACGGTAGGACTCCCGAACTGGCAGGCAGAGGAGCCCAGAGAGGGCAGATGACTCCACCAGGGTCACACAGCAAGAGGCTGCTGAGCCCAGGCAGCCTGGCGTTTCCTCTTCTCACTGTATCAAGCCCAACCATCCCCGGTCATGCCTCAGCAGCTTCCTTCCAGAGCCACAAGATCCAAAATGCCTGGGTGACGGCCAGAGGGCAGGAGAGGGTCAGGAAGCGGGCCGTGAGGGAGTGGGGTGAGAGGAGGGCAGAGGGCTCCAGTGTCTCCCCTGCAACGAAAGCCTCACAAAGGCCTTTTGAGGCCGGTCTCCTTCCCCACCCACCAAACAAAGAGGAGGGAGGAGGCATGGGGGCTGGGGGTGCGCCAAGGACAGGAGTCCCAGGCCAGGCCAGGAGGCGGCTGGGAGCTCAGAGAACCAAGGCAATGCAGCTCACGGGGTGGAAGTCCCTGGGGCACTAGGGAGGCTCTCTCTGGAAGTGGGCAAGTGGGCCAGGGAGGCAGGACTGCTGGGTCCCTGCCTGGCTCTGCTCCCGGCTCCCTGCCCACCCTTCTTGGACTCAGTTTCCCTACCTCGCAAGTATCCTAGTCCAAGAAAACAGGATTTTCTGCCTTGGAAGGGACTTGAGAGCCTAGCCTAAGAGAAGGACATTAAAAACTAAATTTCACTTTCCCCAACTGTCCAGGGGGCTGGAGGGAACTTCGTAAAGTGCAAATCTGCCCATGAAAATGCTATTGAGTCTGGCCTGTGATTCCCGCTGCCTCAGAGCACAGCTGCCCTGGCTCATCTCCACCAACCCCAGGGCCCCGGACCTCCTCTCCCCTTACTCCCTCCCCACGCTAGTCCCAAACAAGCCTGAGGACTTCAAGCTCAGGTCTTTTCTCACACCATATCCTCTCACCCTTCAGCTCTGCGATGCCTCCTCTGAGTACCGGACAGGGGGAGTCTCCCTGGCTCCAGGCACCCAGGTCCATCACTGTCTCCAGCACTGAGACCCTCTGGTGTGAAGAACTCTCAGTGTCACCAGCACAGCCATGGGGAGGGGACCTGGGGCGGTGGCCTTCAGCAGCCTCTCGGTCGTCACCCAGGCCCCTGGGGCACCCACTCTCACACTCAGGAATCATCCTTAAAGAGGATGAGATCATGCCATGAGGCCAGATACTTCTGTTCAACACGTTCCAGCCTCAGCAACCCAGGCCAAGACAGAGGGAGCCACCAGCCAGATGCTCCATAATTCACCGATTCCAACAGTAATGATGACAGCTGTCTTATGGGTGCCAGGCCCTGTGCCAGACTTTCATGCATCATCTCTTTAAATGCTCACAACAACTCTATGCAGTACTTTTATTTTTTACTACTACTATTATTACTGATTAACCATCGTAATAAAATGCTTTCCATGTACAGCAAAATCACTATGACAGTAATCAGCAAAGTAAATTCCTTCTACTTGAATGTCACTCTAATCATACTAGAAAAAGTCACATCCACATCGCCTCATTTTTATCCTAAAAACAATCCTGGGAGGAGGGTGGCAGAACAGAGGGCCCCACCTCCCGCATAAGGAAGCTGAGGCCCAGGGAAGGGGCAAGGTCCTGGCTGGCTGGTGGTGGCTACAGAACTTGGGGCCATTCTCCTGGCTCCCTTAAATTAAAAGACATGTGCTCCTTGGAAGGAAAGCTGTGACAAACCTAGACAGCATAATAAAAAGCAGAGCCATCACTTTGCTGACAAAGGTCCTTGTAATCAAAGCTATGGTTTTTCCAGTGGTCGTGCCCGGATGTGAGAGTCAGACCATAAAGAAGGCTGAGCGCCAAAGAATCAATGCTTTCGAACTGTAGTGCTAGAGAAGACTCTTGAGAGTCCTTTGGACAGCAAGGAGATCAAACCAATCAATCCTAAAGGAAATCAACCCCGAATATTCATTAGAAGGACTGATGCTGAAGCTGAAGCTCTAATATTTTGGCCACCTGATACAAACGGTCGACTCATTGGAAAAGATCCTGATGCTGGGAAAAATTGAAGGCAGAAGAAGAGGGCAACAGAGGATAAGATGGTTGGATGGCATCACTGACTCAATGGACATGAATTTGAGCAAACTAGGAGATAGTGAAGGACAGGGCAGCCTGGCATGCTGCAGTCCATGGGGTTGCAAAGAGTTGGACACGACTGAGCAACTGAACAATTCCTGGCTCCCTATCCAGATGCAATCTGACAGCAGACAGGACCTCTGTCAGCACCTCCACTTTCTGCATCACCTGGGGCCTCGGAGTGACCCCTCCCAGCCATCCACTGTCCCTTGCAGGCTAGGTGGGTCTAGGCCTGCCTGTCTCAGCTCCAGTTCAGAGCAGACACTGACCTTGGGCCGCTTCCACCTAACGGTGGGCCCTTGGCTGCCCTTATAGTAGAGCGAGTCGTCAGTAGCGGGGAAGTTGGGGTCCTCGAAGAGCACCTTCTTGCGCAGACAGGCCCGTTTCAGGGCCGAGTAGTTCTGGTCCTCGTAGGGCTTCACGCAGGAGAACATGGTGGATGCTGCCTCTGGAGGCGAGGCCAAGACGGGGCAGCTGAGGGTAGCTCGCAGGCACCTGGAAGAACAGAAGATCAGAAGGTCATCACTTCCTGAGAACTCGAGGCCCGCGGGACCCTGAAGGGGGAGGTCCCTGAGTACTCCCTCCCAAGTGAGCATCTTCATCCCCATTGTGTGAGCCAGAATTGAGGCTCAGAGAAGGAGAGAGACCTACCCGAGGTCACACAGCTGGTGCAAGTAGAGCAGGAAGAGGAAGGACTGGCCTGACTCCACAGCCTGAATTTCCTTATTTGTGATGCTCAGTGGTGACGCCAGGCCCATAGGCCAAAGGGGTGCAAACACAATGGCGATCAGGGCTGCCTGGATGCACCCATGTCCTCCCTTTCTTTGTCCCACCAGCCTTTCTAAACCTCAGGGCAGAGTCAGACTAGTGGTGACCCAGCAGCCCCCTGGCTGATGTCACACCCTCAGGAAGTGTTAGTCGCTCAGTCGTGTGTGATTCTTTGCAACCCCATGAACTGTAGCCTGCAGGACCCTCTGTCCATGCAATTCTCCAAGCAAGACCACTAGAGTAGGTTACCATTTCCCTCTCCAGGAGGTCTTCCTGATCCAGGGATCGAACATGGGTCTCCTATATTGACAGGCAGATTCTTTACGTCTGAGCCACCAGGGAAGCCCCCAGAGCCACGAGATCATCTCTCTCCTGTGTGGAAGATCCTCGGCCCTGGAGACCCCTTCAGCCGTCAATCAGTCACTTCGCCTCCTCCCTCCAGGGCTCTGCCTTCTTAACCGCACTTCTGGAATCAAGGTTTCCAGTCCCGCAGGGAGCACTCTCCTTAATCCTGGTGACCTTACCTCCTCTGAGGACCCTCACCCTCACCTTGTGACCTGCCAGTTCCAAAGCCAGATTCTCCCACACAGCCTCCCAGACCCTGGAGCACCTCACACATCTGAACAGTCAGTCTCCTATTCCTGGAAGTCGAGGGTGTCTAGCACTGGTCCTGACCCATCTCCCTCTCTGACCTCCCCTCCCCCTCAAAGAAAGCGTTAAGTCGCTCAGTCGTGTCTGACTCTTTGCAACCCCATGGACCGTAGCCAGTCTCTTCTGTCCATGGGATTCTCCAGGCAAGAATACTGGAGTGGGTTGCCACGCCCTCCTCCAGGGGATCTTCCCGACCCAGGGATTGGACTTGGGTCTCCTGCACTGCAGGCAGATTCTTTACTGTCTGGGCCACCGTGGAAGCCCCCTCAGGGGGTCCCCTAAGAGCTACACCAAGGCCAGGGCTACACCACGCTCACCTCCCCTGGCTGATGACCCTGATATCCCTGCGTTCAGCTTAGACCCCTCACCTAGCCCCTGCCCCACATGAGGACCAGTGGGTCCATTTCTAACGAGGGCCAAATCCCACAGCAGAGTCTGGGTTTGAGTCCACATGTGGCCCCAACGCAGAGGGCGCTGCACCACAAGCATCCTCCCTTCAGCGCCCACAGTCCAGCACCCTAACCTTGCAGCCGTGTGCTGACCAAACGCAGGAGACACAGACTGGACTGAGGTGGCCAGGAAAGGGCTTCGGGAGGGGAGTGAGCAGCAGCAAGTGCCCTGACAGATGCTGGGACAGCCTGGCACCTGACAGACAATCCCATCTCCGCCCGTGTACCTCAGACCCCATCTGGCAGCTCCACGCCCCCCGGAACCTACTTACCCTGGGGCCTGCTCAGGGCAGCACTATCAGCCCCACTCCCCAAAGACACAGGCCCCGACTTCCCAGCATAGCTGAGGGAAACCGAGGCAAGGTAGGCTTCTAGGGCAGACATGAGTTCGAGAGCAAGACTGATGTGGGTGTCAGTCCCAGCTGTACCCTTCGCCCGCCGTGAGACCTTGAACAAGTCAGCCTCTCTGATTCCCCATTTTCTCACCTCCATATTAGGAATATTGCCTCAGTAACTGGAAGATGCCAGTATAATTGACCAAAGGCTGAAGAGACTGCTTAGCAGGCCAGAGAGAAGAAGGAGAAATAGAGAAGCCCCCTTTCATTCTCAGGAGAGACCCTCATTTCTCTGGCACCTGCCATGTGCAAACCACCCGGCTAGAGTCTACGTTTAGGATCCGCAGGGCAGGTCTTTCACTGTTGCCATCTTTCAGAAAAGAGAACTGAGGCTTACTGCAGGGAGGCGACGTGCCCAAGTTCCACAGCAGAGTCTGGACTTGAACCCATATCCTCTGACTTTGGAGCCTCCACCTTGGCCTGGTGACCCCAAAGTGCAGGAGAAAAGGGGGTGAGTGCTGGGCCAGGCAGGGCTCACCCCACACACACCCTGGCTGAGCCAGGCCCACGGGAAGTGAAAGATGAGGGGATTCAATGGAGAGGAAAGACAGGAAAGGAAGAAGGTGAGACTGGGCAGTGAGGGTGGGACACGGGTGGACAGGGAGGGCAGGGCTGATGGTCCCTGCCTGCCGAGGGTCAAGAGCTGGCTCGTCCTCTGCTCTGGACCCATAACCACTTCATCTTCTGCCCATACATCGTGCAAGGCCCACTTGTCCCCTGCTGTGTGACCTCAGGCCAACCCCTCACCCTCTCTGGCCAACCCTCTACCAGGAAGGCCAATAACCCTGCCCCTTCTCACCCACCATCCCAGCGTCAGAGACCTGAAGGAAAGAGACATGAGCCTGGAGAGCCAGCCCCAGAGCTCTGGCACACAGCCACCAGGAGCACCATTAGCATCCCAGTTTCCGGTAGGACCGGCTCAGGAAGCAATTTAAGCTGCAAGAATTACATCAAAGAAGCTGAAAGCAGGAGGAGCCCAGAAATCAGCTCCAGCAATTCCAGGGTTCAGAGCCCAGAGAACCCAGGGAGGAGGAGGGAGCTGGCTGAGGTCACACAGCCGGCCGATGGAGAGTGAGGGTTCTGGCTGCCCTCCAGGCCTCACAGTGGCCAACATGCTGGGAAGGTTTGCTCCTGGGGATAGAAGGGAGGTGCAGGCCAAGAGAAGGAAAGCTCAGCCGGGCCCAGGGCCAGGAGATCAGGGGCCAGGCCTGGCTGGCGGAGGGTCTGACCCAGTTCAGCCATCTCTCCAGCCTCACCCCTGCCCGCCAGGCTGACCCTGGCCTCCTTAAGCCTGCCTCTCTGGCCCTGGCTTCTGCACAGGCCGCACTTCCCGCCGACTGCCCTCCTGCACCCTTCACCTGCCCCAAGGTCACCTCCCACTCCATCCGCTGGGTCAACACCCCAAGCCTCTGAGCTTTGCTTTCTCCCTGTAGTTCCAGGCATAACCACTGATGGCACAGATGATCCAGTCACCAGGAAAACGAGCTTCCAAACCCCGGCCTCTTCTCTCCGGGCCTCAGCCGGGGTCACATCCTGTCTTCTGCACTATTACATTGTGTTGGAGGCACTAACAGGACAGCCTGAGCCTCCCAGCTGCCCCCCAGCCTGCCCTCTTCCCTCTGCCCCTGCCCCTCTCCCCGCGCCCTGCCCCCCCAATTCTCCACCTGGGGCCTAAGTTCCCACAAGCTCCTCGCAGACCACTCGGGGCCATTGGACACACTCTTCCATCCACACAGGCACACCTGGAGAGCTCCTAGTCACCTGTCAAGACAGTCCAAGTACCTCCCACCTGCCTGACACTATTCCTCCTTCCACCTCTGCAGTCCTGGGACGCTCCCCCCAACCCCGTGACAGCACCTGCTGTTTACCCCATCTGCACATGACTTATCTGCCTCCCAGCCTGCAGCCCTCCAGGACACAACCCACATCCAGCTCCTCTCAGTGTCCCTAACATCCAACCTTAGGGAGCAGGTTCAGTGAATTTGGGCAGAATGGGCCAAGACAGGTGTTGCAGGAGGAATTCCTTCGCGGATGGGAAAAACAGGTTCAAAGAGGGGCCAGGACTCCCAGGGGAGATCATTTTGCCACATCAGAGCCGCACCAGCTCTAGGTATCCTGAAGGGCAGGGTTCACCCCTTCTCACTAGATGGGGCCTCTCTCTCTCTCTCCCCTCCTGCTCCTGACTGTCCAGAGAAGATATGACTAAAGCCCTGGTGTTCTCAGCTGTTCTCCCTAAACTGTGAGACCTGGACAAGCCATGTCGCCTCTCTGGTCTTCACGGCCCTTGTCTGGGAGGAAGAGATAATGCGCCGAGGCCTCTGGAAGGATCAAATGAGATAGGGCCGCATGAAACAGGAACAGCACTTTCTGTCCGCTGTGTTCTGTGCCCCTAGGGGTGTCAGCGCAGCTGTCTGAGGCTCTTCTACAACGTGCCACCCCAGACAGGAAGGCCACAACAGTTCAGGGTTCCTGTCCCCATGGAACGTCATGGTCTAGTGCAGTCCAGAGACAGAGGCAGAACAGAATATGTGTCATTTCAGAGGTTCCAGCAAGAGGGACACAAAGAGGCCTTCACAAGGCCTGAGTCCAGAAGTCAGCTGTGCTTCGGGAGAGAAAGGCCACTCCAGCCAGAGGGAACAGCTCAAGCGAAGTCTCAGAGGCAGAGAAGTACCAGGCAACTCAGAAGCAGCCTGGCACATTGGGGTCCTGTGGACGGAGACCGGGGGTGCTGACCTGGGTCAGAACAAGGGCACAGGAGCACCTGCCAGGGAGCTCAGTGAACCCAGCCTTCCAGTGGGTCAGTCAGACCTGAGTTTGAACCCCAGCTGCACGACTTGGTGCTGTGTGTCCTTGGGGCAAGCTGCTAAGCCCTCTGAGCCGCTGCTATCCGTCCTTCCTGGTCCCAGTGTCTAGGGTGGCATCTGCCCTATAGGAGCTCCGTCTAGCTTCACCTTGGAAACCGTGTGTACTACCTTCTGGGAGGGCTGGCCAGATCTGCTGTCCCTAGACCTGCTGGAGGTGGTGGGGGCAGGCCAGCGGTACACGGGCAGAGTAAGGGCTCATCTTGCAGCAGGCCTCACGGAGCCAGCTGGGGCGGGGGACCCAATACCACGGAGCCTGCCCTGGACAGTTCAGCCACTGCAGCCAGAGGGAAAACCGGAGAGAGTTTTA